ATACTTTGATTCAAAATAGAAATAAGGGATTATACCAGGTGATTAAGGAATGAGGCTAAATTGACTTAAGAAAACTAAATTTATTTTGAATTGATTTATAAACAAACACAAAATGGTCATTATAGAATATCCTCTTGTAGAAATCTTTATGATTTGGGGTACTTTTACATTAGTAGAATTAAGTCAATCACATTTTATGTAGCATGATCATTATTTTGAGAAATATGGTACTTATATATTTCTAACTTTTTGATTACGTAATTATCCAGAACTAATAATCAGCAAGGTTGGAAACATGCAAGTTCAAGGGGTCAGAGGGTTCTAGGATGGAAGTTAGAACCCATGAGAAGAGGCATGTAAAGCCAGAAGAGAAGTAGTGATCTGAGAAATTAGCTAATGTTTGAGGTCCAGAAGCTGTGATATGGATGAAGAGCAGCTTTAGGAGAAGTGAGCAAAAGTAAAGTGGAAAGGTGGGGTTGTCAAAAAAGAGATTGCAGAGTTCAAAGGTGATAGGTCATTTTCTCCCCCAGCTTTATTGAGATATAATTGACATACATAACATTATGTAAGTTTAATATGCACAGCATATTGATTTGATACATTTATATATTGCCAAATGATTACCAAAGTGATAGATCATTTTGAATAGCTATAACCCAAAACTCTGCTCTTGGGGTCATCTCCTCTGCCTTTTTTTTTTTTTTTTAAACTAGATATTTGATCTTGGGTTAGTTAGATCTGTCTGATTCTTAGTGTTTTGTGGAAAGAGCATGGCATTTTATAGTTATACCACTTCCATTTGAAACCCAGTTCTGTTGTTTATTAGCTGTGTTATTTTGGGTAAGCCATGTTTCATTGTGCTTTGATTTCCTCATCCACTAATGGGATATTAAATATTCCCCTCCTAGATTTGTTGAGAGGACTAAATGAAATAATTATTTACAAATGTGAATAAGGTTTCAGGACAGTATTGGGAGGGTCAGCACAGATCTCAAAGTTGCTGACCATGGCGGTGGGGCCTGCAGCTCAAACAACTTTGAATCTGATGCTTAAGACTTTCGGGGGGTTGGGGGGTGGTGGTGGGAGGCCACCTTAGAGTTCTGCTGATACCTGTGATGAGAAGACAGAGTTCTGTAAATATATGGGGTGTAATAATGGAAGATACTATCATAATGTCTGAAATGGTTGGGAATCTCTAAGTTTAATAATGTTGTAAATTCCTATCTTCCAAAAATATATTTAATGTCTTCTTTGCTTTTTTCAGCATCAACCTCCAAAGTCAGGTGAAGGAAAGTTCTGAGTGTTATAGTGAATGATATTAAGTGATGCAGTAAATATAAGTATAGAATTAATGCCTCTTTTTACCCCTTCCTAGTCCTTTGTGCCTGAGTAGCTCTTTTAGCAATATTATTAATCTCTATCAAATTATGGTTATGGTTATCAAAGTATATTAGATTTCAGAAATTTGTCTCAATTGCCACTTCCTTCTTTATCTACTTAGGAAGCTAAGGCTCAGGCACATATAATTAATGTCTCCCACTTTGCTTCTGTATCTGGTTCACCTTATGGTATTCTTCCTCCAAGTTTCTTATGTTGATATTCCTGTCTCTTCATCCCAGATCCGTATCTGCTGCCTGTGATGATTACATATGCTTTGACTTTTCTCTTGCTCACCTGGATTCTCACCTGCTGACTTCTGCCTCTCCTCCCTCTGTCTGGGCACTCTTCTGGTGGCTTCTGTGGCTAATCACAGGGCCAGGTGACCCTACATTTCTTTTGCTCTGCCCTTTAATTTACCGGTAAGATTCATACAGGTCTTTAAAGAGTTTTATTTAGTTAGTTTTATATAACACTTATTTTTAACAAAATTATAACCATGTCTTAAATGAAAAATTATATGTAAAACTGAAAACTGTATGGTACAGTTGATTGAGAAAAATAGGTTCAGAATGTATCAAGAAATAACTTAGAATAAAAATTAAGAAAAAAGTCAAGAGTTACAGATTTTCACATTCTCTAGTACTTTAAGAATGGTTAGGTGACAGAATATTAGGGATTTCTTTGGTTGAGAGTATTACAGGTGTCCCCCATTTCCCCCTCTTTGCCCCCCCTCCACCTGGCTCCCACCCCACCCTAGGCCTTTTACCTCACCATTGTCTGTGTTTATGGGCTATGGAGATTTTTTGTTTGTTGGATCTTTGGATTCTAGTGTTCTGTTTAATCTGGCTTATGTTTCTGTGAGTAGTATGTTGTAGTTACCCTTCTTTGTTTCCATAGCTTATAAGGCTAATGTGCACTTATAATAAAACAATGCCAGTTAGATTATGAAATTTCTGGTTTCTTTGCTTTATAATGAACTATTGTAATAATATTGATAAGTTCTGTTTGAATCAGCATTTTTGTGTCATTGGCATAAAGCATAGTAACTATTACAGTGAACATAGCAGTGCTTTTAAAATTTCAGGGTAAAAAAGAAACCTGTTGTGAGTTTTGGAATATTAGTAATAAAATTTAAAAATTAAAAATGCCCAACTTTCCCAGGTTAGTCTTTTACAACTTTTTTTCTTTTGGCAATATTATGGAGAAGCTGGGGTACATTAGATCAATTTCTCTCTTAACTATTGTACACAGTGATCCATTAGCCAGCTGACTCAGATGTTATTCTTCCACCTGGCAAGAGTGAAGAGAGGCCCAGTGCATGAAATTTGTACACTGCGGGGGGGGGGAGGGGGTCCCTCAGCCCAGCCTGTGCCCTCTCGTAGGGGAGCGGGCCTAAGCTGGCAGTTGGACATCCTTAGTGCTGCTGCGGAGGTGGGAGAGGCTCCCACCACTGCCGCTGGGCTCGCCAGCCGTGAGCTCGGCTTCTGGATGAGCAGTGCTCCCCTTGTGGGAGTGCACTGACCAACCACCAGGGGGCAGCTCCTACATTGAGCATCTGCCCCCTGGTGGTCAGTGTGCATCATAGTGACCAGTTGTTCTGCCGTTTGGCCAATTTGCATATTAGCCTTTTATGCCTCCGGGATCAAACCGAAACCAGCTATCCGACACTCCCCGAGGGGTTCCAGATTGCAAGAGGGCACAGGCCAGGCCAAGGGACCCCACCGGTGCATGATTGGGGCCGGGGAGAAACACGGGAGGTTGGCCAGCCAGGGAGGGACCGCGGGAGGGCTCCAGGGCATGTCCGGTCTGTCTTGCTCAGTCCCAATCAGCCAGACCCCAGCAGCAAGGTAACCTACCAGTCAGAGTGTCTGCCCCCTGGTGGTCAGTGCATGTCAAAGTGACTGGTCGACTGGTCGACTGTCTGCCCCCTGTTGACCAGTGCACATCATAGCGAGTGGTTGAGCAGCCTTAGCATATCATTAGCATATTATGCTTTGATTGGTTAAACAGATGACCAATCAACTGGACACTTAGCATATTAGGCTTTTATTATATAGGATAGCAGCAGCCCCTGGTATTCCTATCCTATTATTCCCAGGAAGGATTTGTGACACCTGAGGCTGATCATGGCCTTCATTTTGCTCCATTCCTTACCTCTGTGGAGGAACTTGTCCATCCTTTGCAGGGTTGTCACTTGTGCAGTTTTCTGGCATTCCTAAAATTTCTTCAGAAATTCTTAGTGCTCTCTTAGGGAGTCTTAGCCCTCATTTTGAGGCTGTAGTATTGTATCTGGGTAAGATAGATTTAAGAATAATCAATTGAAATTTCTCTTTGACTCCTCAGTTCTCACCTAAAATATATGTGGAAAATCCTATTTAATAAAGAGGGAATATGCAAATTGAACATCACACTGTCAGAAAGATGGCGGCACTCATAGCCATAATATGGTGGCGCTCAATCCCCTCAGCCCCATCGGAGTCCCCAAGTCCTTTCAGCCATGCCAGGGCGGGGAGGGTGGCAGGCGCTTGGTGTGGCCGGACCCGCCCTCAGCCCCCCAGCCACCTAGGGCCGGCCCAACGTGCAGGCAAGCCTCAGATGTCGGCTGCCCAGCTGATGCCTGAGGTGCAGGAAAGCCTCTGATGTTGGCTGCGCAGCCACCCAGGGCCGCCCTAGGCTCAGGTAACCAGGGCCTGCCGAGACTTGCGCTGCCAGCAGTGGCAGCAGCAGAGGTGTGATGGGGGTGTTGCCTTCCCCTGATTGCACGGTTGCCTCCCACCCTGAGGGCTCATGGACTGTGAGAGGGGGCAGGCTGGGCTGAGGGACCCCTCCCACTCCAGTGCATGAATTTTCATGCACCGGGCTTCTAGTGATGCTATAAAAATCATTTTTATTGGCTCCGCAAATGGTAAACACACCTGTCTTTTATTAAGTGTCAATTTTATTAGCTAAGGTTGTATGAAGTCTTGAGTCATGGCATTTCTAGCGAAGGGTTAAAAAATATAGCCAGTAGAAAAAGCTCAAGTTCTGTTCTTATGTAATGGGCTTCATGTTGAAATGATTTAATAATCATTTATGGAGGGACTCCTCTCTGCAGGCGTTGTGCTAGCTACAGGGCATACAATGGTGAATAAGACCATCTCCATCCCCAAGGTAAATAAACAATTGCATAGTGGTTATGTTGAACTTGGCAAATTACTTGATCTCCCTAAGTGTCAATTTTCCTGAGACATGAGACTCTCATTGAGGTTGTTAAAATTAAATGAGATAGTAAATGTAAAGTGCTTAGCTTAGAGCTCAGCATATATAGCAAAAAGTACTGCAGAAGCATGATGAGAGTGGTACCTTACCTAATCTCGGGGGAGTGGGCTGGAGAAGATGTCAGGAGGAGCTTCTCAGAGGAGGCGGTGACTGGGATGGAGCTGAATTCTGAATGATAAGAAAGAAGAAGAATGGGTGGAGGTAAGATGGTTGTCTTTTGTTGCTTGGTCTTCCATCTTTAACTGAGCATTAAATTGCATTGTTAATATGTTAATATATTGTATGTTATGTCTCAAGAACATGAAAAGTAATGTTACAAAGTTCTATTTTACATTAAGCAATATCCTTAATTTTTTTTTCAGAGAATTAAAGAGGGCAGCATAATTGACTCAGTTAAAACAATCTGTGTGGGAGATCATATTGAATCCATAAATGGAGAAAATATTGTTGGGTGGCGTCATTTTGATGTTGCTAAGAAGTTAAAGGAATTAAAAAAAGAGGAACTCTTTACCATGAATTTAATAGAACCTAAGAAGGCATTTGGTAAGTTGGTTTTATGTGTGTGTGTGTGTGTGTGTGTGTGTGTGTGTGTATTCCTTACCCTTTATTACCACTATTTATATACTTTTCATACTTATACTTTTCTCTTTGTGCTGAATTGTTTTTTCTTTTACATTTTCTATTTCTAAGTGTTTTTAATTACCGTTTATATTTAATATTATTTTATATTAGTTTCAGATGTACAGTGGAGTGGTTAGATACTTGTCCCCCTGAAATTTCCAGTTTCCCTGACTTAACTCTCTAAGGGAAATGAGTACTGTGGTGTGGTGCCTCGTGCTTCTGGTGTATCATTTAAGAACATAGGAAATAATAGATAGTACTACTTATAAGGAACACAAACATTGAAGGACAAAAAAAAGGCCTAGAAGGACATTCTCTAAAAAAGGCATTTGGAGTTACAGAGTCTTTGAGTTTGATGTGGTTGTTCCAAGCCAAGAACTGCACATTGTGTTGTGTTCATCTTCCTAAGCAGTTCGATTTTTATTAAGTTCGCTAAAGTATATTAACTGTCATTCCTGGACCGCAATAGCAAAAACTTTAGTTACACACAGAAGTGGTATTTAAAATAGTTGTCTAGTCTATTTTAAAGACTTTTCCTCCTTTGGCATTCTGAATTGGCAGGGTGGGATGGTATGAAATTACTTTGGTGTGACATCTGTACTTGCTTGGTTTTAGCCATGGCAGCTGTGTTCCAGCTCTTGTTCAAACCCCCAGGGCCATCTCATCTCCAGGAAAAGGTGCCAGCTTCTCTCAGTACCCAGCACTATTTTAATAAGCCAAGTGACGGCCTAGTGTTCATCAGTGTGAAAATATCTTCAGAATTACTCTGGGCCTGCCCTTACTCATCCATGACCCCACCCACTTGGTGTTCTTTCCTTTGCTCAGGGAACAGAAATATTCCTTGTGGCTTCCCTAGTGGCTCTTTTCTCAGGGTAGTTAATGACCATGATGGGAGGATGCAGTGGGTCTGGGGAATTACACTTCTTCCTTGAGCAGGAAAGTGGCAGATCCTAGCCATATGGAATTGGAAAATGTTTTCTGCTTCCATGTGATTCTGTGTCTTTTAATAGAAATACAGTATAGGTTATATTACTTGTGGGAGACAGAGTTCCAAGAAGATGTAAGGAAAGAATGCTGTATGCCGGTGCTGCTCTGCGGGGCGGGGGGGGCACTCTAGAAACCCGGCTATGGATAAGGTGATGCTGCGTGGTGCATTGCATTGCATCTGAGCTCGCTTCTCACAGAGGAAGGTGGGCCAGCACTTGTTCCTTTTGAAGTGGCTTTGCTTGGTAACCAACTTCCCAGGTGTCACAGTACATAAATTGATAGCACGTAGACAGTTTGAGAGAAATAGTATTTGATTGATTGATTTATTATTATTATTATTATTTTTTAATATATTTTATTGATTTTTTACAGAGAGAAAGGGAGAGAGATAGAGAGTTAGAAACATCGATAAGAGAGAAACATCGATCAGCCGCCTCCTGCACATCTCCCACCGGGGATGTGCCCGCAACCCAGGTACATGCCCCTGACCGGAATCGAACCTGGGACCCCTCAGTCCGCAGGCCGACGCTCTATCCACTGAGCCAAACCGGTTTCGGCAATTTATTATTTAAAAATATTTTTATTGATTACAGAGAGGAAGGGAGAGGGAGAGATAGAAACATCAATGATGAGAGAGAATTATTGATCAACTGCCTCCTGCATGCCCCACACTGGGGATTGAGTACACAACCCAGGCATATGCCATGACCAGGAATCGAGCTATGACCTCCTGGTTCACAGGTCGACGCTCAAACACTGAGCCATGCTGGCTGGGCAGGAATAGTATTTGATTTAGACTCTGTAAATCAAAGTCGTTCTCATAGTACAGCCCAAGGAATATAATTTTCTTTCTACATTTATCTCTGCCTCATAATCTTGTTTTCCAGAGTTAACCTTTTCCTGTGTTTTCTTTGTTGCCTCCTAAGAATTCCATGAATAGACTTGAGAAGAACACTGGGTATGATTTTCCTAAAGAAGGTATATTATTTCAGCATCCTAAATTCTGCTGGTGCTGTGGGTTATACCTGGAGGTTGATATTGGAGCAGATTTTCATTTTCCAAGGCTTTTATGGCAGTTTATCTTAACACAACATAAGCCTGCTGGTTTACATGCATTTTCCACTCTGTGGGTTGGTCCTTGCCCCTGGGCCCCAGCCTGGGGACTTTTCTCTTAGATGTAGGCCTTACTGCACTGCCCATTTTTCAGCCCTTAATTTTGCAGTTTATCTTTTTGCCTCTGAGATAAAGGCAACACTAGTTTGTTCCACATCCTCTGGCGTTCCATCTCAGCGCGTTGCTCTTTGCCAGGGAGGGAGCATATATACATCTGGAGGTACTTGGTGACTAGGCTTCCCCTAATTCTCTTGGTCCTAATCTTACTTTTTGCTATGTTTTCTTCCTCCCTTTGTTTTTCTAGCATTATCCTTGATGCATTGACTCAAATTTTATATTTTGTTTTTATTTTAAATAATTATTTGACTCTCTGCCATCTTGGATTTCTACCAGGAGAAAGGGCCAGTGTAGGTGAGGTAGAATTTTCTTTTTTCTGATTCAAATAGGCCATATTGGCTGAAGCCAAGTCATTTCTGGGATTTTACCAAAAGCCGAGAGAAATGGTCATATACTCCAGTATTTTCCTACCAATTTCCCTAAAGATTTAGCCTCAGAAGCATGTGAACTGTGTGTCCCAAAATACAGGAGGGACTTGTGTAGTTAACTGCCTTGTAATGGAGTAACATGGATGATGAACACAACTCAACTATGAAGAGGGGCATCCTTCCTACCTGCTCCTGTTTCCATAATTAGGTCTGCCACTAGTCATATCCCACTTCTAGGGCCATTATATGTGTCAAGATTTTTTTTTAAAAAAAATATATTTTATTGAGTTTTTACAGAGATGAAGGGAGAGGGATAGAGAGTTAGAAACATTGAAGAGAGAGAAACATCAATCAGCTGCCTCCTGCACACCCCCTACTGGGGATGTGCCTGCAACCAAGGTACATGCCCTTGACCAGAATCAAACCTGGGACCCTTCAGTCTGTAGACCAACGCTCTATCCACTGAGCCAAACTGGTTAGGGCTGAGCTGAATCTTAAAAGAGGCTTGCTCAATGAATAAATTAGGGAAGGTTGTCCTAGGGAGTAGGAACAGAATAAGCAAATATGCAAAGGTCTGGAGCAGTATTATATATCTGGGAATATGATGATGCATGCCAATGTGATTGGAATACAGGTTATAGGTGGTGGTGTGGCAAGAAATGAAGCTCAAGAGTCAGTGGGCACCTAATTATCAAGGGTCTTATTATGAAGACTAGAGGCTCCATGCACAAAATTTGTGCAAGAGTAGGCCTTTGCAGCGCCAGCTTCGTCCAGAAGGTTGTCTGAAAGGTCATCCGGAAGGTCATTGGAGGGTCATTAAGCTGTTTGGCTGTTCAGTTGATTTGCATATTATGCTCTTATTATTACAGATAAAGAGTAGGCAATGGAAAACTAGTGAAGGATTTTAGATAGGGGAGTAACATGATGAGACTTGGATTTTAGAAAGATTTTTTGAAGACTATGTCAGACAGTAGGATGGGCTATGAGATTGAGGTTAGGAAATCCATAAAGATTCAATTGTGTTACTTGAAGAGAAGAAAATGAAATTATGAATTTAGACATGGAAATAAGAAAGGGTTCAGAGGAATAGACAATGGTTTGCTGGAGTCATTTGTGCATACCTCTTTTCAGCTTCATGTTCAATGACATCAAGTTGGTTGTTTGAAATTGGCTATGGTGGAGTGTTTACATCACAGAAATGAGCAAGTGCTGTAAATTGGAGCTTTGTAGCCTGGAGAGGTGATTGTTAAATATTTACCTGCATACCACTCCATGTTAAGAAGGTAGAATTAGTTACCCATTGGAAGTAGAGGTAAAGGAAAAGAAATTGCAAATGATGATTCACATATTGAATTGAAATCTGTGGGGCAATTGAATTGAATTTGAAATCTGTGGGGCAATTTAGTTGGAAATGTGCAAGAAGTAGAGGGATGTTGAGAACAGGGGTTTAGGGTATGGGATTTATGAGTACAGTTGTATGCTGTTTAACAACAGGGATACATTTTGAGAAGTGTTATTAGGCAACTTTGTGGTTGTGCAAACATCGGAGTGCACTTGCACAAACTTAGATGGTATAGCCTACTTACACACCTAAGCTACATGTTATGACCTATTTCTCTATAGGCGAGGAAAATAAATTCTCCTTTACTCTTTGAGTTGTTGGGTTTTAGGTAGGGGGCCTCGATTACCCCTCAGGAGCAGAAGGAGGTGGAGAAGCTCTGAGGGTCAATTGGGGCCAGTAGCTGCCACTTGCACCTGCTGATGGCGCCAGCAGCAGGTGCGAGTGCTTGGCGGGACTGTGGTGTGCAGAAGCAAAGAATTTTCAGTAACCACCAGAGACTCGCCCTGATGACAGTGACTGGCGCCCCTTTGTCTGGAGCCCCTGCTCACCTGCTCCACCATCCTGCTGCGGCCGCCGCCCACCAAGTTCCACGCTCTGCTGCCTGCTGCCAACACCCACCATGTTCCGTGTGTGCCCCCTGGTGGTCAGCACACGTCATAGTGGCCGATTGTTCGGTTGTTCCGCCGTTTGGTCTATTGGCATATTAGGGTATTATACATATAAATGTGTGTGTATCTATAGATATCTACCTAGATATAGATATTGTATACATATGGGTCATGATATAATGCACATATTTCTCACTCTATGTCATTGCAAAAAACATTTGAAAGCCACTGGTTTAAATGACTCCCTTATTGAAAGTCTGTAGTTGAATAGGAACTCTCCCATATCCAGCATGGTTTCTCTTGGTCAGCTGCTTTCTGATCCAGATTTTCCTTCTTCTAGCCATGAGTTGATGGCAACCATCCCAGTCCTTATCAAGTAGCGGCTGG